CCCCAGCCACCATGCTGGCCGGGGGATTTTGGGGGGTGGGGGCCACACATTTTAAAGTTTCTGAAGTTGACAAATACTGGTCTGGTATAAAAACGCACTTCTTTTTGTCTGTCTTGAACCTGATGCCACGAAATCACTCAAATAACAGCTCTTGTTTCATCAACGCTACTTTTTGAACTACGGTATTTTGATTCATCGTTTTTCTGTCTTTATCTCCATCTCATATGCAGCCCTCAACATATGAAGATACTTAACTGCATGCTACAAACCATATAGGTGTGACTTGAACCGTGCAAAGACACTGGGACCTATTCAATAGCAGAAGGGAACACTGCAGTATTGGCAGGATAAAGCTGTATGAAAACATATATCTAACTGCAAGAAAAAAGGGTTATTTTATACAATAGCATCATTGATGGAACCTAGATCATTCTTAGAAGGAATTTTGGTATTTTCTGCATGTTTCCGTGTTTTTGATTTCATCAGGTATGTCTGCTGAAGATTTCTGTGTAATGCCAAAGCTTGCACCGGTATTAACATAATTCCACTTTTATTTGAAATGGGGATTAGGCTATAACTGAGTGTGGTGGTGATGGTGTTGAACTCCTTTTAGCAGAAGGAGTGGTGATGCCTGTTAGTTCTGGGGGCACATTATATGCCCACCCTGGGTATATAAGGCTAATAGGAATTCCTGTATATGTTAGGCACATTTTTATAATGGAATGCAGGATAACAAGACTGTGGTTATTGAGGGGCCGAAAAAACATTTTACGTGTGTGCAAAAGCATCGGTAGTTTTGCACATGTGCAAAATACACCAAGATGCACCGTAAACCAACAGATGCGTGAAAAAAAATTATGGCAGACACTAAGGTCTAGCTGGTATTTTCAAACTATGGACTTGCTACCTGTGCTAATAAAAAAATCTACCTCCCACACAAAATGTTGATGAACAGATATCGTACTTAAAAAACAAATGAGATAGATGGGTTAACTATGAAAGAAAGAAATCCAAAATTGATGCTGACGCCATTAATGCTGGTTTATAAGCTAATTATAAGCTTTTGAGTTTCCAAGGATTTTTCATCAGATCGTCAGGAAGGAAAATAGGGTAGGGAGGGAAAGGGGGCTGATATCTGAACCGTATATTTAGCACATAATCTGTTAGAGATGCTCTAGTGCAGTGTTCCTCAAGCTTGGCGACTTTAAGACGTGTGGACTTCAACTCCCAGAATTCCCCCAGCCAGCCATGGTTTAAAGTTGCCATGGTGGAGAAACACTGCTCTAGTGCAGTGTTCCTCAAGCTTGGCGACTTTAAGACGTGTGGACTTCAACTCCCAGAATTCCCCCAGCCAGCCATGGTTTAAAGTTGCCATGGTGGAGAAACACTGCTCTAGTAGATCCTGTACTGGCCAAGAAGCTGAACTAGATAACCTCTAAAATCCCTTCCAACTTTATGATTCCTAGATGGAGTTGTGCTGACAATATTAGGTGGAATTCAGGAATTGTCCAATGTTTGCTTGAAAGAAGAAATAACTAAATAAATTTTAGGCCCCCATCTTTGGAAAAACCAGTTGTTAAAAGTCAAAAATATACAGGAAAGCCAACGTAATGTTGTAGATAAGGGTCTGGGCTCAGATGTGGAGACATGGACCCAAGTCCACCTCCGCCATGGGAGCCCCTCTTTCAGCACAGCTTACTTCATAGGGTTGTTGTTTTGGAGCAAAATTGGAGGAGGGATTTCTATGGAGATTGCCTTGAAATGCTGGGGAACAAAGGTAGGGCATGAATCTAACAAAGAAGCAATGATTAAAACATGAGATACTTAGTAGAATAGGCTGATATGAAGAACAGAGCAACCGAGAAAGGCAGACTTCAGATGAAGAGGAGAAGGAAAGGTGATGCTCTGGAGACATCTTGGCCTTAAAGTCTGAACAAGCACAGCCAACTGGGTCAGCAAGGAGGATTATGGGCACTGTAGTCCACAATATCTGGAGGACACTAGACCTTCCTGCACTAGCATGTTTTGTTGATCACATGGAGGGAACAAGCCAACAGTTTTGTGCACAGTTACAGTATAAGGATGTGAAGCCACCACCCAGTGAACATCTTGCTAATACACCATGCAATTTGTGCACATAAGGCTGCTGCACAGAATTTTTAGTCTTGTGTGTGAAACCCTGCATAGGTGGTTTGTCTGGTAAACAATGGCTCAGCAATGCTTTGTGGAATCCTGCATAACTTGCAGAATGAGTGTCTGGGAAACCAGGGTTGGGAGGTGTTAATATCAACCTGTTTTTCTGATCCAAGTAAATAAAATAGGGGGAACCCAAGGGAGGTTGAAGACCATTCTTCATTTGACGGATACATGAAGGTCACCTAAAACCTGGATGAGAGTTAGGCCCCTGAAGACCAGACAAAGCACCCCCAAGGCATTTCTCTCTCCCTCTCAATGTGTCAGCTCTCATGTGATCAAGGATTTCTGTGTGGCCCCCCATTGCATCTGGAGGGCACCTGGCCTTCCTCCCTTGCCTTCTCTCTGAGTGGAACTCCTTTGCTTGCCTTCCAGGTGCTCCTTTTCAAAGGTCTCAGCATCCTCATGCTACCTCCTGCCGGCACTTCCACCTTGCCCCCCAGCCTCAGATCTCCGCAGACTTCCCTCTGCCTCACGCCGTCCAGCCTCACCTCGCAGCCGCCCACCAGCACAGCAGCCCGCTTCACTCGTCGCTGCCAACTTTACCTGCCCTGCCATTCCAGGATGTGACGGGACCTCCGTTCCTACCTCAAGCCCTTCACCAGCAGTATCTTCTCCAGCAGCGGCTCCTCGAGGCTCAACACCGCAGGTTCATATCCCATCCCAGGTGAGGCCACCTTGGGATCCTGGGTCAGGGGCAACTGCCAGTACAAACTCCACTGGCTGGGAAACATGGGCTTCAGAAGGAAGATGGGTATCCAAAGACACAGATGATGGGGAGAGTGAAATGGCCCCTTTTTGCCAGAAGAGCAAGGGCTGGTTTGCAAGAGAGTTGGAGCCTTCTCCTGGCATGTTGTTGATCTATGCCATGATAGTGAACAGCCCATTGTGGCCACCATCTTGAAATTTTTTACTATGCCCTGGGGATACCCTTGCCTCCCACCTGAAAGAAAAAGAAAATGCCCATGTTGGACAAATATATATGAGCATAGAAGCCTGGTTGGAACTAAAATGCATTTTACACACACACACACACACACACACACACACACACACACACACACTTATTACATAAATATGCAATATTAACATCATGAGGTCATTTGTGGAATGACATCATATTGTGTATGACATCACTTACCCCTTTGACCCACCTTGCAGAGACCCATGCTGTGCAGGAGCAGGGAGAGTGATGTCATACAGGTCAGAATGTCATTGTGGTTTCTATTAGACCCCCATGGATAGACCAACAATCTTGCTTGATTTTGCTCACTTCCCAGTGCATTTCTCTGCTCTGGATCTAAAGAGGATGTTCTCCATGTGGCCTTGATGTGGAATTTAGAACGTTGTGAGTAGTGTAGAGTATGAGTAGTTTCTGCTCATTCTTCTCCCTCTCTCGTAGGCGGACTCAGGAGCACATGTCTGTCCAACCTCATCGGTTACATCCAAGCTTTGAATTTGGCCATCAACTGCAGACTCCCAGGCCTGTGGGGCCCCAACCTAGATATTTAGCTGAAGGAACAGACTGGTAAGCCATTCCTTACGTACAAGGATTGAAAAGAAGCATAAACAGAATGTCTACCATGAGTTGCTTACTTGCTTACTTGATCAGATTTCTTTTGGGTCTGGAAGAAGTTCCAGAAGCTACCTTTCAATTTTCCTCTGAGCCCTGCATTTTTTCCGCAACATTTTCATTTAATTAGATGAATTTGACAATGATGTTAACATAATGGCATATGTGTCATGATGGCATTGCATGAATAAGTTCTTGCATCACAACGTCTGATGCAAGTATGGAAGTTGTGTGATCTGACCCACCACCACCACTCTGGTGGATCTCTATGGCTTTGTCGCTGTCTCCTGAAAGCTTGGGGTCCAAGCATCCTATTTAATTTTCCTTTTATTTGTTTTCAAATGAAGAGCAACTAGTGGAGGCAGAAAATGGGTGCAAACTTCACTGTTTTCCTGATTCCATTTCCCCTCAGATATAAGCTCCATTCGTCAAGGGCAATTCCCCTTCAACATACTGCGTATCTTTCCCCCCTCAAGGGAGAAAATACATTGATGATACGGGGCCTTATTAAAAGCAGGGGGGCCACATCCTTTGCTGGAGCTGGAGGCTCCTATTCATAGACCAACATCATGAAATAAAGCTGAGGAAGGTCCTGCCACAGCAGAATCTTTGATCTTTGGGGCTCAAAGACACTTTTTGGAATATGAGAAGCTGTGGGTCCCGACAGGGGCTTCCATTGGGGGCCAAGAGAGGGGGACAAGTGATGAAAGCAGCATCACGCCAACATGACACCAACTTCATCACTTTTGCATGCACATCATGATGTCACACAGATGTACAAATGGGGAGCAGCCTAAGTTGCAATGGTGAAATGCTACTTGTGTTATTTTGATGAAAGCGCTGGATTCTGTGGGTGCCTCTGGGTGCTTAAATAGCCAAGAGGACAGATACCGTATCTAAGAAACTGTATGTAAGGCAGAAGCTGGCCTGGGCCTGAAAGCTATCCCTGGCAAGAGAAGTTGTGTGTCCTCTAGTTGTCCCTTAATCCGCCCTTCTTTTTATCTTTTAATTGTGGGAAAGTTATCCAAACTTTATAGAAGGTGTTGTTTTTGGAAGCCACTGGAGGACAGGGCTTTCATTCAAAGTGAGGTGCTGATTCATAACTGCAACTTCCTGTCTTTTCCTCTTATCTGCTGTTCCCTGCCTTTTTTCAATTTCCGCAACCTTTCCTCCTGTATTATCCCAGTTCCAAGTCCCTGACAGTGAAACAAATTAAAAAATATATATCTTCAGCTGAATCTTGGACATGGAATAAATGTTTATATGCTTTAGAAGTCAAAGCTTAGAAGGAGCTGAGATTTGGCAAAAGATGCTAAAAGAGACTAAAAAAACTCCCTCAGGTATGTTCAAAAGAAAAGGAAGACAACCGGCCTACCAGCTGTGCAGCGAAGAATGCAAAATGCTAAGAGGTAGCAAGGAGAAGACAAATTTTGGTTCAAGCTTCTACCATCCCAAAATGGGTTCCCCCAGGAAGTTAGAAGGGCACGATTAAGGGGAACATAGGCATCTTCAGGAGGAGATGGGGGAGTGACAACATATAAGTGATGACATCACACTCATGCTATGACTTAGTATTTGCATCAGACTTCCTAATGTAAGTATGCAGTCATGGTATTTGCTTGTGTGTCATTCTGATGTCATCACGTTTTCTTATGGACACAAGATGAAAGGTCAGAAGAATGGGCAAATGGCCCTATCTTCAAAAGGAAGGAAAATGAGAATTCAGGGACTACAGATCAATCTGAAGTTGATATCCAGGAAGACTCTAGAACAGATCAACCTGGAAACCCCTGGAAACCAGTACACTGATCATCAGAATTCATGATGGGTTTGTCAAAGACAACTCTTCTCAGATTCCCTTAGCTCTTTTTTATTGAGTAGATGATTTAGTGGATTATGGGAGTGCTACTGACATAATACGTCTTGATTTTAGCTAAACATTTGATGAAATATCCCATGACATTCTGAATAGCAATCTAGATAATTGAGATCTGGGTGACATAACAATTAAGTGGCTACGTAACTACCTTGAAAAGCATACCCAAACAGTGCTCCTCAACAGTTCCTCATCAAAGTGAAGGCTCAGTTCTAGGGCCTGAACATTCTTTTTATTATGACTTGAATGAGGAGGTACAGGAAATGTTTATCAGAACTGTAGATGACACAAAATTGGCAGGAATAGCTAATGTCCTGGAATACGGAAATAAAATTCAAAATGATTGTGGTAATGTGGAGAAATAAGAGGAAAATAACAATATTATTTACCAAAGACAAATGCACAGTTCTTCATTTAGGAGAGGAAATTAAATGCACAGGTATAGAGCAGTGGGATTACTGGCTTGGCACAAGTGTTTGTAAAAAAGAATCTTGGAATTATAGTTCATTGTAAGCTGAATATGAGCAGTGTGAGGTGGTTAGAAAAAGGGCAGATGCAATTTTAAGCTAGGTTAAGGGATGTATAATTTCCAGACTTTGGGAAGTTATTATTTTACTTTATTCTGCACTGATCATACCAATCTTACCAGTTCTGGATAGCACAGTTTAAGAAGTTTCTCCAAAAGGTGCAGTGAAGGGCTACAAGTGAGATCAAAGGACTAGACACTAAGTTCTGTGGAAAAAAATGGAAGGATAGGAATTGCGGAATATAATAGTAGACAGCACTCTTCAAGGAGCTTAATGTCCCATAGAAGAAGGTCAGACCTGTTCTCTACTCTCCCAGAGGGCAAGATAAGAAATAATGGATTTAGTAATGAAAATGGGAATGGGAATAATGGACATTTTTATTAAACACTGGGGAAGAAATCCTAAAACTAAAAGGAGTTTGACAAGGGAACCAAATTGCCCCCGAAATTGTGTGGGCTCTCCTTCCCTGGATTTATTCAAGCCGAGGCTGGCCAACTATCTCTTACAGATGCTCTCCTACATGGAGGAGGAGTTGGATTCAACAGCCTCAATGAACTCTTCTGATATACATATGACCTTTTATTGGTTTAGTAGCATGGCACCTTCAAGTCACATAATATTTCACAGTTGGTTCCCTGCCGAAAGAGTTGACCCTTCCCATTTTGATCATGGAGAAAACAAGGTGGGGCTGAAGCAAAGAGGTTATTTTTCTGCATACTTTTGAGCTCAAGTGTTTGAATTTGTTTCATGCTGAATTCCTCATTTCTGCATAGAAATGATATATATATTATTGGCAAGTCCAGGAAGCATTGGGGCATTGACTACAGAATTCAACAATCTCTTTGAATATGACAATCTCTACCCTCCCTGAATAATGGAGAACAAACCTTGGTTTGCCATTTTGCCATTTCCTTTCTCCTCTACTGCCACTGCTCTGAAAATTCATGTGGTTAATTGTACCTAACAGTCACACTTTCAATCTACTATTTATTTGGATGACTCATTTCACTTCAGGGCTCTTGTTCCTTCCACCCAGAAAAATAGAAGGACATTATTTCCTGTATTAGCAACAGAGTTGAACTGAACGTACCTTTGAGAACGGGGAATACTTTTTGTGAAAACCCCAAGTAATAATCTTGAGTGGGTGGCTGTGAAAGCCTTGGAAGAAAAGTTCACCAATTCTAAGCAAGGGTGAGGATGGTTCATTGAGCGTTGCCCTCACTCTCAACTGGCTGGGTATGCCCTTTGTAGAGCTGGACCGTACTATTTCCCAGTGACCCATTTAAATGCGTAATAGCGCTGAGAGATCAATAAAAGAGTGAAAAAGGATGACATTCTTGCTTCAAAACCACTCCTTTCTTTTGTTCTTTGTCCCTTCCATGCTCTTCGTATACTCTCTGTCCTTTCCCTTCTCTTCCACTCTCAGTCTTAATTCTTTCTGCTCCCCATAATGTCCTCTTTGCTGTTTGTATACTACCCCCATGCCCCCCCACCAATGGCCCTGTGCTCCCCTTCCTTCTGCTTCTTTCCCTCTGGATCCGTGGGATTTGTTTCTCCCCCTATTCAAGTTTGTCCTGTACATGTGTGTTTCTGGATGTGTATTTTTCTACACATGCTTATGGAACGTAGGGTGGGGAGAGAAATAAAAGTCCCCGCAGAGGGGATCACTCAGAGACCGGCTTGTGGAAAGGGGGGGGGGTCACTCTCAAAGTTTTGGTGGAAGTATCTGCAGAACTGCTTAAAAATCCCTGAGGTACCTTCAAGTCCAAACATGTTAAAAATCCCATCATATTCAAGGTTGAATTCTCATGTTTTCATGGATTCTTTGAAGCTGCTTCCATGATCCTTTCCAGCTGGAAGCAAAATAGTGGTGATTGGAAAAAAATAGGGAAAAGTGAATATTTGTTAAGGACTTTATATTAAGCATGTACTTCTTCCTCTGAAGAAAACATGTCTTTTGTCATCTGTTTACACACACACATACAGAGATATACAGGGTGTGTCAAAAGTCAGCCCCTTAGGTCAGTCACAATATGTTTTATTAATTTTTTTTCCCAGAGAAAATATTACTGTACTTAGGAATGTTGAAAGTTCATGTGTCAAACAAGTAAGGAAGTATTTAGAAGAAAATGGCAACCAATTCATACATTTAATGTAATTTATATAATAAATGATCTATGGGGCCTGACTTTTGGTACACTCTGCATATGTATGAAACTAATGTTCTAATGAAAAAGTACGTTGAAGGTGAATTTGTTCCAGAATCACAGAGTTAATTCATGAGTCACTGAACAAAACAACAACACTAACACTTTGGGTGATCTGCTCTCCGAAATGGCAGTGTTTGTTTTTTTAAACCTTCTCTTTGCCTGAATGGAAGACCTGTATTAAAGGTCCAATAAAGAAGGTACATTCCAGACCAGGGTTTCCCAAAGTGTGAAGTGTACCTCCCATGGGGTCTAGGGGAGGTGTGAAGATTTTTATTTCTTATGTCTTTGTTTAAAATAAAGGTATTGTTGTTATTGTTCATTTGTGTTCATTTTGGTGTTTGGCCTTTTAAGAGAGGTATGCACATTAGGATTACACTCAAGGGAGGTGCAATGGCAAAAAAGTTAGGAACCCCTGGTCTAAAACTTCCTCCAATGCCCCTCCCAGAGCTTTGGAACTTTGACTCTCCTAGAACTTTGATCTAGGATGCTCCCTGGGTGGTGACTTCTTCCTGTGTTCCTACAGGATCTATCAACAGTTTGCCATTGGCAATGCAGGTAGGAAAAGAACATAGGCACTTAGGTGAGGGACAGTGGTCCAGAAGACAAGATGATTGCTCTGTCAGTCTCACTGATGCCTGATTTTGATTTTTGTCCTTCTAGGGACCTCAGTGTTGACGCCAGCCTCAGTCACAACCAGTTCCAGGTCAGGCCAGTTCCTCAACACTATCAGCATTATTTGGCTCCGCAAAGAATGCATCATTTCCCCCAGAATACATCCTCAACACAGATGGTAAGTCAAGGGGACGTTAGCGGAGGCAGTCTGAGGTCAGGCCCTGACAAAAATAATGCACACCGCAGTGAAATCTTCACTAAGTCCAAGGGTTGCAAGGCAAAAGATCCAGAATGTATTCCTGGGACTCCAGATTAAATGATTCCACTCTTGGGCCAAAGTTTCTGAAAAACGACTGCCAGTCCCAGAATATAATGCTGGTCTCATCCTTGGCCTAATTCATTTTCTGCTCCAAATGTGTCTCCAAAGGGCTCGGATGCATGTTGTTGTCCACAGCTGTATTTCCCAGCTGGGAAACACAGAACTTGATAGCTGTCGGTGCTCATCTGAAATAGGAGGCAGGCACTGTGTTGGCAAACATTCTCTGAGTGAGGGCCAGCAGAAACTGGGGCACAAGAATCCAAATGACCACATGATGGCAGTAAAGAGAGGCAAAAAACCCCACACAAAACCTCACCTAGTGGTTCTCTGGAGGTTTGCAGCCAGAAGGAACCGCTTCTCTCAAAATCTCAATACAACATTTCCTTTTTCCTTCTGCTTCGATATTTTCCCTTTTGCACACAGTGTGATGGGATGGAGACGTGGACTCTCTGACTTCCCCTCTGATACCCGATATGTGACTAGGGCTCCAGCTAGAGAGCAGCAGCTGGGAGGTCCATGGGATGTAGTCCAAGAAGTCAAGATGGCAGCCATAAATGTGCAACTGGGTGCAATTGAAGCTCTGCTCATGTTTTATATGTGTAGCTGTCATGTTGACTTTTTGGACCCCCTCCTCAGACACTCCTGTCAGGAGTACTTGGAAATGTATGTCACAGTCTTCCTGAAGGGGAACATTGTATGCCTCCTGAGGGAGAAAGATAGGTCAGAGGAGTATTTGTCCTTGGAATTAGTGTGTATCATTGGCTGAACATCCAGTGATAATGATTCATTTCAAGTGATGGAATCCAGAGCTTATTTTCCTATACAATTTGATGTTTGTACCTGCTTGGTCTGATTATTGACTGGGAGACCCACCCACCCTTCCTTCCTTCCTTCCTTCCTTCCTTCCTTCCTTCCTTCCTCCTTCA